TTGAAAAAAAGAGTTGTTGGGGGTTTAAAAAATAGCCGTTGGCTATTTAAAAAATAGCTATTTAACCCCAAAATTTTTATTATTACACTTTTTCCCTATTTTCAACTATAAATACCCCCTCATTCTTTCATTTTCTTACAAAATTAATATTAATCTATCACAATCACTCTCTAATTTTCTTCTATACTTGCTACTATTGCTCATTTTATTCCAAAAAATAGTCAAAAAATATTGAGGTTGTTACAATTTGTCAAAAAATATTGAGGTTGTTGTGCTCATTCCATAGGGGAGGAACACTAAGAAAGATATTGCCATGTTTTCTATTGCTATAATAAAATTATAAGGCATGGCTTTGAATATCTTTTTACAATATTTTTGTCTTTAAATTTGATTTAAAAAATTAGATCACAATTCTATAATAAATTTACAAGGCATTGCCTTAAATATTTTTTAACATCTTTTTGTCTTTAATTTCTATTTTTTTTTTTTTTAAAATCACTGCTTAGCCGTTGGGCCCATTTATCCCGTTGGGATTGCGGGACCGCCCCGTTTAGCCCGGGACCATGAGTTTGTGGGCCCAGTCCTGGGCCGGTTCCTACAAAAGGCCGTTTAGCCCGTTATTTAAGGACCGGACCGGAACCGCGGCCCACGAGACCGGCCCGTTTAGGGCCCGACCCACTTGCCACCCCTAAGTACTATTCTTACATTTTCATGCTCCTAGATCTTTGTTATTCTTACCAGTTTTGTTAGTAGTATTCTTGTACTTCTTACTTTTAGATCTTTGTTATTACACATAGTGTCTTTGTTTTTTCTTGTGTTGCCATTGTTGGTTGCTTCCTGCTTGTGTTTCTTAAGCCGAGGGTCTATCGGAAACAATCTCTCTACCCTCACAAGGTAGGGGTAAGGCTTGCGTACACACTACCCTCCCCAAACCCCACTTGTGGGATTGCACTGAGTTTGTTGTTGTTGTTGTTGTTGTCGTCTAATCCAGTATATATCCTTACTAAGTAACAAAGAAAGGCTACTATTAAATGAAGAGGCGAAGCATATAGCAAACCTGTATGAAGTATATTACACCATTTACTGAAATATAGAAGGTCCTCAGCTTATCTGTTGGTAAACTTCTAGCCTGCTCATTTATACAAGCGCAAATTTTAGAATTGACAGGTCAATATTATGCCTGCAGGATGCTACAGATTCACTTGCCTGGTGATATATCTCAGCCCAAAATAGAACAAGAAGTGTATATGCTGAGAAGAAAAGTAGGCCCGGTAAATCCAATAATACCAAAGTAAGCACCTGGTTGAACATGGAGTAAATGTTAACGTCGACCGGGAAACAATAGCGAAGCAGCTCAAGAGGCAGTAGTGGTATGTATTAAATTCTTCTTCTCACATCATTAACACCAAAAACATAATGGGTAAAACAGCTGTCACCACAATGAGTCCTGGAGTTACATTTGCAAACTGCAGTCTTATTCTATGTAAATTTTCGTATTTTCTTGCCTTTAGGTCCATCTAACACTTTGATCCCAGCTAATTTGGTGATAGCTACTAATTTATGCATCAATATAATCAAGACAAAGAAAAAAGATAATTTTAAGTAAAGTGATAGAAAACAACAGTCATGTGGTTATCAAGGTGCTATCCGTGGACTAAATGTTTTCCTAGTATAGAGCTCATAGGGGACTAATAGGTTTTAAAGCTAAATGTTGAAGGTAGCAACTAAATTGCTACAGTTCGCGAAAGAATCCACAAACTTAAAGTGCTTGTCCAATTTTAGCAGTCAACTATTCCCAATAGTTGAGACCTGAAGAAGATGGAGTAGTTACGATAATCTTCAGAATTAATATGAAATAAAGAATCTAAACAAATTTTAATTAAATAAGCTCACAGATTAAACATTAAAAGCCGGCCATTATTGACAGTATATTGCTAGTAGACTATAAGATTAGTCAGTCAGCGGGATATTAACTTCAGAAACAACAAAATTAAAATAGGTAAAGAAACTTGGGAGGAAATTGAATATAAAAACAGGCAATTTATTCAAGTAACTATACATTGTCAAATGCTATTGAAACAGAACATGAACACAGCAGAACTATAGTTGTTAAAGTCACAACAAAAAACATCACGGATAATCCAAAGAACTTACCTTGGGATGGAACAAAAACACTTGTTTGTGAAATCCAAAGACAATAGCGCGAACTGAGGAAAGTAGATTTATATTTAAAATCAATTCACTGATGCAAAAATTACAACATATTATTTATGCTAACTATGTCTTACCTCCATTTACAACAAAGTTCATGAGATGGAAAACCTTTTGTGTAGTCCAACCATATTCAGGTACTCTCAACTGTATTCTAATTAATTGAATCTGCACATGGTCAACACATATACTCAACCAGAAGTTCTACAACCGACTGAGAATCATGGAGAAAGTAAATCTGATACACCACAAAAGTAGGTAAAATACATCCATCAACTAATGAAACCAAGCCCCCCCTCCCCCNTATGAGTTGTTTCTAGATTTTGGTGATTATAATAGGTATTGTGTTGTATTGTTCAATAGAATACAAAGTTTCCATAGATTGCAAGAATAAACTTACTAAGATTACTAAAAAAAAAAAAAAAAAAAAAAAAAAAAAAAAAAAAAAAAAAAAAAAAAAGAAAAAGATATGGAGTATAATTATTATATAAAAAGTATGATAAAGGATAAAATATGAATCTTTAATACGTTAAAGGTTAAATATATACTTATACTTTCAAAAATAGTTTAAAAATACCCCTCGTTATACTATTGGGTTATCTTTACTCATGTCGTCATACTTTGGAACAAAAATAACTTTCTGGAGTGCCACGTGGCAGCACCAGATTAAAACAACACTTTTTTTTTACCCGATCCGTTTTAAAGAAGTCATCACCCGACCCAATTTTCACCCCACTTAAAAATACAACCTAACGTAAAAAGCCCTCATTTTATGAATTCTCAAGTCTTTGTAATATTAGTTGACGAGAATCGTTTGTTTATGTAATTTTGTATCTTGTGTATGAAACATTAAGTTGTCTATTTGTAATGAATATGCTTTTCTACCATCTTAACATGGTGAAATCTTAACACTAATGGATATGCCTTTCTATCTTCAGTGCCTTTATTTTTCAGACTTAATGAACCTTATATTTTCATCTCTTTGCTAAGAAGCAAATGATTCAACTAGCACAAGAGCTATACCAACTGTAATCCGAGCAGCTATTACAACTCTTTTAGACGTAGATAACAATAAAAAAGATTTGCATAATCTTACACAAAGCAAAGAAAAAAAGGACAAAAAAAAAAGAGATGCAAAGATCATATTAAAGGGAAAACTGGAGTATGACTGCAAAAATAGTCAAGAACCAAGGTAGAAACTGCAAAAATAATTGAAGATCTCAGTTTAAAACAATAAAAGAGTACTGTCATAAGCAGTAATCACATCACCAAGTTAAGAACAATAAAAATGTACTGTCATAAGCAGTAATTACATCACCAAATTAACCAACCAAAACAAGACTATTGTCCATAAATTAATAAACTACTGAAAATGTCCCTTCATTGGCTTCAACTTTCCAATCCTTTTTTGACGTTCAACTTCCAACTGATTTGTAGTCATAGCAGCTTTGCCCTTCCAAATTAAGTTGTCTGGTGTATAAGGAAGATTTGTTGGAATACTAATTCCCGTATGGTCACCTCTGAAGCTAATTTGCCTGGTCCCAGTTGGTATAAGTTTTTGCTGCCTCTGTTGGAGTCTAGTAAGTGTTTATGAGATGTATAACCTTAGGCCTTAAATCAGGGTCTGCTTCCTGCTTAGAGTAAGGGTTCTCAAAGTCTGGAAATGAACCTTGACTGTTTTGCAATCCTGGAGTAGGCATAAATACACAAGTGTTGTTTTGCCTATCTTGTGAGTGTTTTTTTTTTTTTT